AAAAAAATTATGCCTCAATTTGTAGATTTCTCACAAAGAAATCCCCTTAAGTGTTTTTTCTCTTCTTTTGCTGGAAAATCGAATATAAACGTGCAAAATGAATTAAAATAAATTTTGTGCGTAATATTTATTATTCTACAGAAAAGGGATTAATTTCACCGAATTGAATTTAAAAGTAAGAGACAGTAAAAAGACAACGAAATACAACAAGAGAGCAGCAGGCCGCCACGAATAAGTAAGAAAAATATTTGTGCTTTTGTTTTTTACTTGGCTTGGACTTGTGAATGGACGACAGTTTTGCCATTTTTGCATGAATGTTTTATGATTTTATATTCGGTGGATTTATTCTGAAAAAAAAAAATTAACAGAATTGTCTTTGAATACAAAGAAAGTAACAGAAAAGGCGTTGGTTAGGTTGAAGGTTAATAAAGGAAACTTGAAATCTATTATGAAGATAATTTTTAAGATGCACTTAAGCTGCATAGAAGTTTACTTACGTTAGGAAAAATTTAATTTCTTAAGTTAGTTTAGCAAAGCCCTACAAGGGCAAGTAACTCTAGCGGCCTACCCGATGGATGATTGGCTGAGTTTCGAAGTGGCGTACGACAAAAGCTTAGGAAATCAATGGATTCGCTTGCCACCACAAAAATTTCTAAACTTACGTTCGTTGGCTGGAGCAACCGACTAAAGTGTACCAACACCTTCATCTCAACTGTCTGCTTTGTTTGACAACACATTGTTGCAATACATTTTTTATTTAACATATTAATTACTTCGTTTTAACCTTTGAGGAAGGTGGCAAATTTCTTCCTTTGAATCCTATATCTCCGATTCGAAAGAGACTTGTTACTAGATAAGAATTGGTATAAAGCGGACGGCTGCAGAGTTGATGTTTATGATTGCTTTATGTTGACTTCATGACTTTGTTCTAGACCATTTTTGCGGGAGGTGCTAATGTTTTCTTTTGCCTCCAGAGCCGCTGTCAGTCACAACAGACACAAGTCTGATATTCTCGCATGCCATCTCCCATCAATAGTGCATTCTGCTGCAATGAGTATTGTGTAAACTTTCAATCGGAATACCGTCGGCATAACGCAGGGTATCGTCTCTTCGTCGAAAAACATTAGATTCATCTCATTAGATTAGACCCATCTCCAGCCTTACCGAATATTGATGACCGAACACCTCCAGATATCATTCCGAATCAGTTCCCTTTACGGCTTGGAGCCGTTCTGTAAGAGATTGTAGATCTCGACATTGTTTTTATGAAGGCAAGCTGCAAAAAGGCTTCAGGAACAACTACATCGTTTGAGGCTAGTTGCCAGGATTTTGCGTTCTTATATGTCCAAATACATACTCGTGATTCCATAGATCGGAAATCCGAAATCCGATTAACGCGAAATTCGGGCTACAAATGTTTATACATATGTATGTATCGATGTCCATATTTGGGTACCCAGTGGGAATTAGGAGCACGTAATAATACCTTATTAGCAACTTACTCTTCACCTGGCAGTCATTACCATTTCCCTGCCGAACGTCCCTTACTTTTACAAAGGCATGGCCGCCTTATGTAAGTAGGAATTTAGAATGTACATTTGCTATCAAACATACTTCTGAGTCGCTTTACAAAGTAAGTTACGTGTAATGCAGAGCAGTCGCT